TAATTATAACGCTGTGTGATCACCATTTTCAGGTATCAGGTTACATACGGTATGTATCATACCAAGCAGATCTCGACCCTATATTTTACGTTTTAAACTTCTTGGGGGTTTACTGGGAATTGTTCGAGTAGCAAGATGTCTAGAGAGTGGATTGGGACGATTTTGTACACGAAGGCGGAATCGTTGTTTTTAATATCTATATGTCTTAGCTTCATTATACACTAAAGACATTTTGAGTGGATACCTAATATGATTAGAGACGCAAGGAGGAGCGTTAAGCAATTTACGTAATGATATATTTTGAAAAGTTTATGATTTGTTTTTATTAGTTGTCTTTGCACTTCCCGAAATTGTACCGTATGTCCACATGGGTTTAACTAAGGATTTATAAATAATTAGTTAAGTATTGTCAGTATTGACTTGTAAATGTTTGTTAATATTGATGCGATTTTTTACTAGGCGTAACTGTATATTTAATTTTATTCTTTTGGATTTAATATGTGGACTGAAGGTCAGCATTTTATCTAGGGTTGGGACCAAGATATTTAGAACTTAGAGCATTTGGAATTTGAGTGCCATACATAGAAACGTTACTGTAGGGAGCTAAACTGAGGGTGAACACATATAGATAGATATAGAATGATCAATACTATTTTAAAAATCCAGTGTGCGTACTAATCTTCCATGAGACTATGAGAGTGAAGTGATATTGGAGATTTTGTATTGCTATTGCAGGGTCGGAGTGAATAGATAGGAATCTGATGGTCTTGTCGTCCGTGTATTCAGAAACCTGCTTGTAATAGAGGCGTGTGTATAGTAAATAGATTATTTATAAGTTATTCGTATATGAATTTATTAAATAGTTAATTTTGTAAAATATAATACAAACAGATTATACACAATAAATAAAAAAAAGACTAATCATAATAAAAAATATAAATGGACAATAACCATACATCTTTTAGGGTAGTACAAAAATATAAAATTCAACTGATCAAATCCTCACTGCAATATTAGGTTGGGAAGTATAAATATATTTGTAATTTTAAGTTATATAATTTTTATTATTATATAGACAATGTTTTATTGTATACAAAAAAAAATAATGGTAAGTACTTAAATTAGGTTCTTTTAAATGAGTACAGTGAACAACTTAATTATTTTATAATATATTATTTAATTCATACATATAAACTATTTAAAATAAAATGCCTACCTATTGATCTATAATTAATTATAGTAAAAATAACACAAACCGCATTGTATCACTGATAAAAAAGAGGTATTTAAACGGTAGACCTAAGAAAAAATTTATTTCAGTCAATTTATTATATTTATACATATTTTTAGCATTATTATTGTTTATTTAAATTAATAAAATTGTGGTAGGTACTTAAAATTCTTATCAAAAAGAACCTAATTTTTCTAGATTTGTCCCTTAAAAAACGTATTTTTTAAAACAACGCGTACATGGGCAGTTTTTCTTATCGGTGTTTCAATTTGTATGTTAAGTCTGTTACAGAAGGCACTAAATAATTTTCCAAATTTAATGTAATTTGAATTCAGTTGAATGCCATAATGTTATGTTATTATGTTAAAGTACGTATAACAAATATTATTCAGTCCATATAAAATATATTATTGACTCATAAAAATAATACACTTAACCATTACCATATTTAATATAGTTGGTTTATCTGTAGATGGGGTAACTTATTCCTTGTTTGACTTGAGTCTTACTTTTTTGTAAAATTTTTTACTAAGCACATTGCATATACCTACCTATAAAAGTGTCTATATTCTACAATAAAAAAAACAAATTTTATCAGTAAATGCTTTTGCGGTGGTCAGATCAAAAGGCCAAACTTAATTTTTTATATTCTTAATATATTCGATAAAGAAAAATGTTTTAGAAAAAGCTTAAAAATATAATACCTATATAGTTTATTAATATGTACCTAGTCGCTATAGAATATTATACATACAAGACAATAGACATACTTGTCGTATCGTCATCACTTGAAGCAGGTCCATAAGATGATGGTAAAACGTGATAATTGCAATCGTGAAAGCTAATATTATCATGATTTATGACATATATAAAATAACTGTGTAAACATATTTTGGGGCTTGAGTCAAACTTGAAATTATTTTTTCATAAGCTAACCTAGCTAACCTAACCTTTTTGTGAAAAATTTATAATGTCTACTTTATGATATCCCGAGGGGTGGATCCTTGATAAAATATAAATTATGGTATTGATGGTACTTAATGGTATCTTAAATAAACGATCTATTTTTAATAATTTAGATGTGTGCATTATTGTATTATTATTGAAGTTATTAAACAAAACACATATCGGCAATAAGTAAGGATCCAGATGATAAAAAAAATATTTGAGGTCCAGAAAATATTTATAGCCTTATAAGTACTTACATTTAAAAAAAAAAGATCAATTATAAAATATAAAATACGTTCCGAGTGTTTTAGTAAATTATTCTACGTCTACACAAATAAAGCAAATAATGAAAAAAAATATACGTTTAGGCGGAAAAACATAAAAACGAATTTCCTTGTGTGAACTCGACTATTGCTGACCCCCGAAATAATGTAATACTTATGAAACCCTAGCTAAAGATGGATTAAAAACAGTACTATATTTTTTCCCTATGATTCAAGTAAAATTAAAATTGTGTATAAGTAATAACCTATATAGTCATCTCTATAAAAATGTTTGATATAAAAATATAGTTCCATATTATATAATATTACATAACAAGTTTATATATAATAGTGTATCATTATGACCAGCTACAACTACAGATTCATTTGTAAATGAATACATTTTCTTAAAATTCTAAAAAATAAAGCACTAAGTATATAGATACTTAAATGATGACCACAATTTTTTTTATCTATACGCAATTATACATTTATACAGCTGGTGAGTGGGTGACATGTAAATTAACACAATGGAACACCTGACACTTCAAATCTTTTTTCCTTTAGAGCTATAAAAATGGACTTGTGAGTCGTAGATAATATTAATAAAGAGACTTGGAATTCTGCAGTTCCTAAATTACTTATTATACCTAGCCACCTGGGCACTAGAAGAAAAATATTAAATCAATTTGTGTGATACATAATCTTAATTCTTAGCCTCTTAGGTATACATTGTATTTGTGACTAAGCAATATTTATAATAATTTTAACTATAGACAATCATATTTTTAAAATCAGTTCAAGGTACCTACTTGAAAACTATTGTTTGAGTACCTACATATAGGTATGATGTATAACTATTATCTGCTTACATCCTATAGGTATAGATTTGGGTAACCTATGAATAAAGGCAATTGCAATTTGATTACCAATAGAAACAAAATTAAAAATATTCTTCTGAAAGGAAACCAATGATTGGTTAATAGTTAGTATGTATTTACATTTTATAAAACCAATATATGTTTTTTAAACTTGTAGATTAACTGGTGAATTAAAAATAATAAAATAATTTAAAACTATATGATTTAATGATTTAACTCTACTAGTATACACTAAGACAGTAAGACACTATATGCTAATAATACCTAGGTAATAATAAAATAATATTCATATCTTTCCAAATATTCATATCAGTGTCAATTGAAAATTTAAAAATACCGAGGAACTCTACAATTGCATAACATAAAATATACCTACATGGGTATTTATATTGTATATTGCACAATACACATATTTTTAATTGTACATTTATGAATACCTAGTATGTTTCTACAATTGTCATTTCCAATCTAACTATATTCTACATCATTCAAAATCAGAATGGTTTAGAGAAAAATACCTCCCAGACCTTTTTTTTATAGGTATACTATATTATGATAGGTATTTATTTTCATCCAGTTATTTTTTTCAAATTATAAAAGAAAATTTGATCTGATTATTGAATTATAAGATTTTTATATAAGTACACAAATAACCTAATACTAGCTATTTAAAAACTCGATGTTGCAGTGACATATTTTCACTTATGTAGGTATTATTTACTATAGCATCAGAGGAATACAATATTTTTTTTATTATGTATCCAAACATTTAGTAGTCGAAGTGATTTAAAATAAGCTGGTGGAAGGGAATGTATATTTGCGGATTTGTATACGTTACCTATGTGGCTATGTACGTATGTTTTGCATGTAATCACAAGCTATGTGTTATTAGGAGAGAGGATTGTGCTTTTTTCAAATTTGAATTTAGTAAGGGAATGTAGTATATTATGGCAATAGGTACGAATAAACAGAGTAATACCACTTTTGATCTACACTGATAGAGGAAGTATCATATTAATGCATAACGTATAACTCAATAATTGACAGTATAATAATATGTAGGTAGTTATCTCAACCATGCATTTAAGTATAGGGTTTCTAAACGATAATTATAATGTACATATATATATATAATTTTTTTAATAGACTACATTAAAACGTACCTATGTACTATTTTATAGTAAGTTTTAGATTGATTTTTAAGAATAAAAAATTGTTTCAAGTGCTCGACCTATTTTACTATTTATATACAATTAGGAGGCCTAGATCGGTTATATTATTATATCTATTCAAATAAAAATTCGTTTTCCTATAATTGCAGTTGGGTCCAATACAGATCAAAAGCGAAGTTTCGGGAGTGGCTTGCAAATTGAAACGTTATGAATTACACAAATATTTTTCATGCTCATTTTTGAATAGTTTATAATTACCTAAATAATACCTTTGACATTTTACAGAACTTTCGAAACGTACCGACCAATACAACTAAATAGTTAGGTTAGGTCTATATATATTATATCGAGATTATATTATGTGCAGCACTTTTCTGTCAGTTTTATTTCAATCATCGAAATCTTTGCTTGTGCATTTATTATCAGTTTTTAAAGTAAACCCGTATTTCTGTTTAATCACGAATATCCATATACAATTTTAATCTAACTTGTAAGACAGTATATATAATGTTTAAGTTTGAATCATTATTACTCTCAGGTAGCATAATACATAATACCTATTATATACAGTAAACATTTTGTGTATGTGTGTATTGTACACGCACATACGGTTAAAGTGACTTAAAAGTTAAATTAGGTACCAAAGGTACCTAACCAAGTCATCGGTGACAAATGAAGCGAAGATCTCAACATCGTTTTATTTACATCATATACGATAGTGATGAATGTGTCGGCCCGTCTTGAGCGCGTATAATAATATTGGTAGAAGTAATAAAACGATAACGATAGCGATTATCATGTTAAAATAGAACTATCAAATGGGCTTCAATGAGGCAACATTTTTTTTTGTTCACATAATATGTAATACGTAGGTAGGTATTTAATAATATATAGCCATATAGGTATATAGTGTATACCTTTATCTCTGTGTAAATTTTATGATGTTTGTAGGTAAGTTTAAAAAAGTTATTTTTTCATGATTATATTTTAATTTTAAATCAAGCAATAACAATTAACAGAGGCCTCGTTTTGGACCACGGATTGTCCCATTGTGGAATATGGATTTAATGAGACACTTTCTACTTTTTAAAAAACCAATTTTTTGAGCGTTCTTAAATGGTTATCTAATATTCTATAATAAGCTCTGCTATTCCCTGAATTCTTTGGTACAGTTGGAAAATATGTACTATCACTTTTCTATCTTTAATGAGATACAATCATCCAATATCCGTCTCAACGGGGACCACTCTATCCTAATATTATCGTTGTATATTCGTTATTCAAATATTATTATACGCGATCGTCGGGGTGATCACTCGGCGAGCTGACGGACCGACAGCAACACGGGAGCGGACGGGTCGATTATTGCTATCGCGTTGCAGCGGCCACCGCTGTAGACTGCAGAGTCGGCGGGCCAAGCAACAATCTCGTGGTGGGCCTGCTGTTGGACTGGAGACCGCGGGTCACCTGCAGCTGCACTACATGGCGTGTCGACTGCAGACCGAGCGTTCTTGGCAGACCGGCGCCAACAGTCGACGACGGTGGACAGGGACGAACTGCCCGAACACGTCAGCGACGAGCTGACGGAATAATCGTTATTACCGTTGACGGCGGTTCCACTGGCACCGCCGGTCACGGCCGCGACGGTGGTGCAGCAGCCCGACCGCGACGGCGCGGGGTTCCGGTGCAGCGGGCTCTTCTTGCACAGCAGCAGCGACCTAAACGCGTTCCGGAAGTCCTTCAGGTGATACGCGTACAGCAGCGGGTTGCCGGCCGAGTTTAGGTGCGACAGGACGATGCAGCCGTGCATGAAGTACGCGGGCACGGGACACTCGTCGCAGAACGCCTGCACGCAGTTGATGGTGTACAGCGGCATCCAGCAGACGGCGAAGAACGCGACGATTATCGACAGGTTCTGCGTGGCCTTCACCTCGCTTTTCCGGGCCGCGCCCAGCACACGCAGTTTCGTCGGACTGTTTCCGCCGCGCTGGCCGCCGTTCAACAGCGTCATTTGCTTGATCTGAAACGGGATTGCGAGTTTGGATCGATTTATTTCTATAATAATATTATAACGTAACCTACTGTAATAACAACAATAATAATAATAATAGCATTTACAGGGTGTTCCATGTAAAAGATTTCCCGGTTTCAAAACCATAAATTATTTAATAAGGTATCATTATATAAAACTACGCACGTACATTTGAAGCACTTGCCGATCAAAACTGCAGGTTATCGAGTTATAGCATTATAGGCACAGTTTTTCTTCCAAAAATGTTGAAATTAGTTCAATACCCCCTTAGGCATATACTCGGCTCCAAACCCTGTCTAACACGCAACAGGTGTAAGCGTGTACCTTAACCGACGACCCTTTATAGATTCTTTTTTCCAACATTTTTCTATCTTGAATACCTAACTATACCTATTGTTGGCAGAGGTGAAAAAACTAAAGACTTGCATGCAGGTTCATTCGACAACAACTTACTGTTGGTCATACGTTACGATCAAAACCTTCGAAGTCATGATTTTTTGAAGCCCGTACATTCTTTATGGAATACCACGCCTTGTATTCTATATTAGCCACAGTCTTGTGAAAAATTGCTTTTAACACGTTTACGGCCTAAAGTCGCATAAGTGCATCAGGTGCTCTTTAGACAAACCCATGCCACACACCCTATATATTATAAATTTATAAGGTTGACATATAGTGTATAATATTATTGGCTACAGCCTATTTGCGCCCCAGAGTAATAGTACATTTGCGCCCCGAGGGATGTGGACAGATGCGCCCGAAAGATAAGGTACTACCTGCCGATTTATAGCCCATATGCGCCCATTTCGTATGCAACGTTGCCGCTGTGATTCATATTATTATAGATTATATTTATCTTGATAAATAACTTAAATTATTTAGATTACCTAGTAGATTATATTATACTCTACTAATTGTGCAGTTATTATTTATTTTATTATTATTTACTGTAGTAATAATTCATCTCACATAAAATTATATAAATAAAATAAATGTTTCAAATTAAAAAAAAAAAAATTTCGGAAAATATAATATAAGGTTGAGTACATGCAATTATTATAAAAATTAATACTGTTGATTTTTTCACATGTCATATAAGGTATGTCTCATATATGTCTCATATATGTCTCATATATGGTAATAAGTAGTATTGCTTGGTATTCCAGAATACAGTTTGGCAACGTTGTACAGGTTTAACACATTTTCATTAAAAATATTTCGGGCGCAAATGGGTTATGATTTCGGGCGTAAGTGGGTTATAAAAAAGGTGTGATGGGCGCAAATGGTTTGCACCGATATTATTAATATTAACTATTACATAATAATATTATGTAATAGTTGTTTTCAAATAATATTTTTTATTTTTATTTTTTATTTAAAAGGTTTACCGGCTTTAATTGCTCAGGTTATTAGCCAACATTTCTTATCAGATATATTTTCGTGTTTTTTCAAACATTTACTTCGAAATTGAAATGCGTTTGTCTGGTTGTTTTCGGTATGAAAAACAGTAGCTCGAGTTGTTTAAGCTCACAATTTTAAATTAACGCAATCGATTAATGAATTTTATGATGCCCTTTGTGGAGAATCGATGTACGCATTGAGACTGTGGCTATATAATATTTTCCGGAGGTATAATATGCCTTCTCTATATATAGCCGAACAAAAAATGTTTAGTTAAATAATATATGAAAAAAGTTCCCCCATTTCGATTTTGTTGATTTAAAAAGTAATAATATAAATAATGAGTAATGTTAAATAAATACTTATTATAAATTATGATGAAGTTAAATTTAAATTTATAAAACCGTATTGATTCATGTCTGTATCCTGCTGTCCCACTTTTTAGTGTTCAAAATATATTTGAAGTCATAAAGTAGATATAGTGATCATAATACGATTCTTTATTTTCAATCAAACTGTAATAGAGTATAGTTATACCTACATATTCATTTTGATAACGCATTTTATAGATTAGACAAGTTGACGATTTTATTTCAGCTGTAAATACTATTAAATGCGCATTATATATATTATTTTCGTTGAGTACATTACATTTTTTATGCTTACTTGTTTTATTACGACTGTATAAATATGAGCATAGGAGGTGGCCATAAACAGCGCAGGTAAAATAATAGTCGCTAAGTATAAAAACACCAAGTAGTTATAATCCATCACGCTACTGAACTCGCATGCGTCCAATGTTGGACCTTTGGCGGCTCTCCAGCCCATTAGTGGCAAGAAACCTATCAGCAGGCCCATTATCCAGCAGATACATATTATGCCTATAAAACAAACACAAAATTAAAAATAAATAAACAGTTTCGATGGGGAATTATGGACTACACCAAAACTTCTGGTTCCAAACTTTATATTACCTAACTATCATATTTTTTCATTAAAATAATCAGTTTATACAACTAATCATAATGTTAAATCTATCAGTGTTCAATATTACCTATATTAATATAGTGTTTTAAAATACCTATATCGTGATTCAAGTGATTTGGGTACCTACCACATTATACAACAAATTTCTGATAGGTAATATAATAATACACCTAGTATTAAGTAGGTAAAATTTGTTAAAAAAAAAAATACACACCATTGTAAAATCGATGCATTCATCGCTCCTCTCAGATTCTAAATATATACACATATAAATACATTATATCAAATATTCAAATGTAAAGATTGGCGGAGTCGATACAAAATCGATGGAATGCACTTAAGCCCTATTGGATTATCATAAAAATCTCAATCCAATACGTGATATTGCGATAACGTTCTATTATAATAATGGTACCTATAAAGGACATAGATACTATAATACCGTTCCGTTATTTGGTCGAGACGACTATACGAGTCAAATACTATTATAAGTCACATTTTTGTAAAAGGTAAAACAATTTAGGTTAGGTTGCTGTGAGAATCATTTTTTATCTTCCTATAAGTGTAGTGATATTCTAAAAATGCCTAGGGAGGTTAATAAAATGTCCGAATAGTCAGTACTCACTAGAAAAATTGGGGCAAATACTAAGGGAAAAAAGGATATATTAATTATTAATATACGCAATATACCAGTTTTTGCCAAAATCGGTTAAATTAGGTAACTACTTTGTCGTATTTCAAAAATGAACAGCAAATAATTGGATGTATAATTTTCAAAATATTTTTTTTTATCTATAAACATTTGAATTTTTGTAGTTTTTTATTTGAGATGATTTGTTCATGTGTCAAAAAATTAATATATAAGGTTACCCATAAGAAATTCTAATAGAAATTTAAAAAAATCGATCATAAAAAGTTGTAATTCATTTTATATGCCTTTGAAGTTAACAATTTAACAAAAGTTGTAGAAACTACGGAAGTTTACACTTTATTTTGGATCTAGTAAAAATATCATATAATTTGTATTATAGTCCTTGGAAATTTAGCACGACATTCATCATAAAATTGTATAGCGACATTTTTAAAATTTTGAATGAATCAGTTTGTGATTATTTAATTATTTCATAATGTATATATTATATACGCCATAAAAAAAAAAAAAATAATGATAGACCAACCTATGCACACGTTTTATATTGGACCGGGGAACTTCCTGTCTACAGATATCGATACTTAAAAAAAATGATATTTTGTAAAAATATGAATTCTAATTTTACATAATACCCACATAATTTAATAAATATTATCAGTAGAGACTTTTTTTTATGTTATAACTTGGTGCCAGATAATAATTATTCATATCCAATTAGGTATATATGACTTATTTTATAGTGAATACGTTTTTATTAAATAATACATTATATTATAAGTACACATATTATATGTAACCTATAATAGGTATATAGTAATAATAATATAATAATACATATTCTCTATCAATGGAATAAATTCCAATATTCTGTGAAGTATAGTAATTGATGATTGTAGGGTTACTGTGACTTTCAGGATAATTCTAAATGGCTTCAAGTAAGGGTTTCTCAAATTATGTATTATAAAAATGTGATCAAAAAGTGCTATAAAATTTTTGGGCGAAAAGGGAAAGGTCATTTTTGAGTGAAAAGAGTCCCGCCCGTTTGTATTTATATCCTGTAGCTGGGCGCATATAATTCAACAGGTTACATAGGTACCATATTATGTTATGTCACACATGGGCACATGACATAGGCATTGAGCAATGGTGTAGAAAAGCATGGTCCTCAAATCAGTCAACCGTAGTGTATTGGTGTAATACTAAGTAATTTAATGTAAATATATATGTAATGTGAATTGTAACTAATGGATATTGTCACCGATGTTAAATATGGACAACAAAAACAAATAAATAAATAGTTTTAATTATTTATTTACCGATACCTACCATAGTAGGTTACGACTATGTGTCTTCTAATATTGTACTTAGGTATGTCATTTTTCTCATGGAAATAATGCCACAACTGTGAACAATTTTTAAGTTCTATTATAGATTAGGAATTTAATACAAATAAATATTTGTGTATACAATATAATCATTTTCGAATGTTTCTCTTTTTTTGAATATAGATTAAATTTTTGAGTATCGGCTAGAAACTAAACAAGATATTTTAATCGAAGATTACTTTTGTGAAGAGTAACTATTCAAATATTATGTTCATTAAAACTGCGTCAGTAAACAACATGCTAAGATAACTCCTTATTAATTATTACTGGTGAGACACTTATTAGTTATTATATTATTAAAAATTGCAATCAGAGCTAGTAAGCAGGTATATTATTATATATTTAAATGTTGTAATATTATTAGGTATGTATAGATCAAGGGAGTCGAGATGGCAAACATAAAAATTAAATTTAAAAAATTTAAACACAAGTTAGTTTTAAATTCCTAACAATAAATCTGCATCTATCGGGAGCTAAAAAGTTCTTGAATCCATTAAAAACAAAATGTCTATGTAAAAAGGGTGTATTTATGGGAACTAAATTTTAAGAAAATAGTGGTTTCTATACCTGGAAAAATTTCTTTCCGCATCAACTGATGAAACTTAAGTAAACTTTAAAAAACATAAAATCATCCGCAGTTGATTTCTTCAATGATTTCAAGTTGTACATTATGTATATTTCTGAAATTTGATAGTACTACTATTTCAAATTCGATATTTTTCTCAAGAACCTTTTCAATTTGCTACCTTCATAATATTTTGTTGTCTATTCGTCCAGTGGATTTGTTTATTGCTGTGGTGTTTACAGTGTTCAATAGACCCATAAAAGGGGAGGGGGGAGGAGTCAAAAGTTTTTACCAGCCCAAATAAGTAACTTAAACAATACCGCACGCAACCACATAATATTTAATATATTTTATAAAATTACCATTCCCACCTCCCATATTTTATAATTTAAATATTTGTACTCTAATCGTTGCAACCCTTTTATTATTAACCAGGTAACAAAATAATTTGCAAATATAAGGTGTCAGATACTTTATAAAAACAATAAATTGTACATACAAATTAAAACTCTGTAAACTAATCTTATTTCACAACTTTTTTTTCTGATAGTTGTTGACATTTTGTTTCATCGGGTACAACGTAGTGTCATTTTGAATGAAAATCGAAAAAATGGTGTTTATGCCTAACCAACTTTGAAAATATTTTATCGAACCCCTCGGTGGCCCAGTTTGATTGTTTATAGTTTTGAAATTTTGATAATTTAACATTTAGTAAAGTACTTTTATGTACTTTTAAAATTTCAAGTGGAAAAATAGTAGGTAGCATAGAGCAGAAATTGTGGGGGGGGGGAGGGGCTGAACCACAAGTATATTTTCACTTCTTATAGATGAACTTAGGTGAACTCTACTCAACGTAATTAAAAATATTGTTATATATTGTGGATACCTATTTAGTTAAATCAACTTATATTTTTTAATTACAAATTGTCTGCCTATTTCTTTTTTTCTTATCATTATTCAATTGCCTTTTTTCCTATTAGGTAATAGGTATTACCTATCGAACAACTCACGGAATAAAAGTTAAGTTGTAACTTTTTAGGTAAATGTTGTAATAAATTATAAACATCATAGATGCTATTACTGCATTTTTAAATTTTAAGAACATATGGCTTACATAGCTAAACACACCCATAACTAAACTATACAGCTACTATAGAGTTAGAGGCCACTACAGAGTTTAATAAACGCAATAATGTTCACAACTATAGAAGAGAGTATGAGACAAATATACATAACCAGTTACCTTTATTTTCAATTATTTTATATCAACATATTTACGATATTACCTGTGTATCTATCGCTTATATAAATAATAATGCAATGTGGCATAAAATGTCTTTCTGATATCTGTTGAGTACCTATAATATCACAAAAACTTATTTACCAGTTAAAAATTAATTAAGCAGATTTCGAAAAACGCGTATATACTATATAAAAGCATTATAATACTATAACAATAACTTATAATATGTGTAATTGGTATATAGGTATTGATTTTAAATTCGTGGATTTTAATAATCCTCTTTTTAAATATCGGTTACCTTTTACCAATATTATAAAATATATTTTAAAATAAAAATTAACTATGTTATATTGCAAAGTAATACTATACAATAAGTAAGTAGTGTATACATTCATTAATATTACCACCATTACAATACTTACATCAGTAATATCCTTGTTCCACATTTTAAGTAAGATATAATTATATCAATCGAACCATTCGAACCAACAAATTATATTATTCTATATTCCAATCGTGTCTCAATAGTTATTCGTTAAATATTTCGTGACAATAGACATTAAATAATTAGTAAATTATTATTAGTATGCAAAATTTGTAAGACAGTACTAATTAATACGCGTAACATACATTAGCAAATGTCAGCATAAATGTCGCGAAATAGTCGAACGTGATTTCTCTGTGCTTGTGTGGCGCCTACAAATACGTTATGATAATGATAATAATAATAATAATAATAATAACAATAATAATAACAATATAATCTATAAGACTTTTTAATGACATGGTCGAATTTTGCAGTATTGTATAATATATTTTAGATGTGAGATAATTAGTGTTGTATTAATGTGTAAATTTGAAATTAATATTCATAACACACGTGTTAGGTACTGTCTCTTTTTAATGAAAGTTGTAATATTTTATGACGTTATTTCATAGTAGCAAAAATATATGAAGTACCTACCTGTCCTACCTAATATTATTAGGTAGGTATTAATTGAACAGCTAATACTTCTAATTTCAATCCTTTGGTTATTTTAATTTTCACTTATGAATTTAAATATCAATATATCACCTAATCACCCTATAAATCAAGATTTCAGAGTGATAATTAGTCAATCTTTTAAATTTGAGAGTTTAATGGCCCCGATGGCCAAATTTATATTTTGTTATGAATTTTATATTAAAACTATTATAGATACATGCCAGTTTGTTACCAGTAGGTATTGAATTTTTATAGGTTAATACATAATTAAGTTCCTTAAGTAGAATGAAATATTATTTTTATCTTAAATAGTATGATAGAGCTATTTTACAGTACATAGATATAAATTGGTTTACTTGAGTATGATGTAAGGATCTCCAAATTTTTACTTTAGGGTTTGTCCTTTGAATGAGTGTTTTTGGATTAACACATTTTTGAAATTATATTAGGTACATAATACGTAATCGTTACTATAAGTCTATAAATACTTATAAATCGGTATGTTGATAACTATTTTTTACTTGAGTAGGTACTACCACTTTACAGTATCAATTACGTTCTTAATTACAATCATAAAGCTATTTTAATAATAGACAAATAATGTATAACGTGATTTTGAAAGTATCACTGACTAAGTCATGAAGTAATATGTAGGTAATTTATTTTTAATAAATTATGATAAATCTAAGGAATTGCATAAAATAATTTAATGTCATTTAATTGGTTACAATTTTGGTATTAAAGGCGTGATAGGTACGTAGATATGTGGTATGTTTGATACGCGTTAGGTAGGTATAATATATATTATAGAATCACTTCACTCACAAATATACATTTCTGTATATTTTAATAAACCTATTATTTTATTAGAACTTAAAATTATACTAATGAGGGATTGAATTAAAAATCTGAACACTTACATTGAATAAATATAATATTTTAAACAGCTATAGTGTTAGTGTTACAGCACATATTTCTTATTATAATACAATAAATGAATAAACAAATTTAAATCATAATTTTATGTGAACAATTGTTTACAAAACCTCTGATTTGAATATTTTTATTTAACAGTAAACGGTAAATTGTTTAATGTCTATTTTAAGTGAGTGCCTACCTATATCATAACATTTAGCATAATTGATACTTCTATATTATAATATATATATATATTTTTTTATTTATTTATTATTTTTAAGCTTCGGCAACTGAGGCCATTAGCTGTCGGTTGTGGTACTGTAGGGTTTTGGGACTGTAGGGTTATGGAACACGTGTGTGATATAATATATTATTAGGTAAGTATATGTATATACCTAATTACATAATATATTAATCTATTATATTTTTTCAAGATATTTGGTTAGGATTAATCCTCGACCAAAAATTAACTTAGAACAAACATATAAAAACTAAAAGATTGATCCTTAACGCTCGATCAAGATCGCTAAAAACACTATTATCAAAAAATAAATTTACTAGCTTAAAAACCAAACTACTATACAAAACTCTCCTAAAGCCAATATGGACATATGGATTACAACTCTCGGGATCGATCAAAAATTCAAATTTAAGCAAAATTCAAGTCTTTCAGAATATTACTCTTAGAAAAATCACTAACGCTCCCCTCTTTGTCTCTAATTTAACTCTCCACCAAGAACTAAGTATTTTACCTGTTATAACTGAAATGGTACTTTTTTACAAACGTTTTTTTGACAGACTTGAAAATCACTCTAACACACTAATAAAAGAGCTACATACCTTCTCACTTCCTGGAAATCCACAACGTATACTCAAAAAGAAATGGTGTCTTGACCATTTAAATTAAATATCCCTCCTTAATTACACTAAACATCACGTCAAGTAAATGCCACTAATGGGTGGCTTCTTGTTCAAGCAATCCATGTCTTAACTCTTATTCTATACGCTTATTGTACAAAATGAATAAATTGTGTATGTGCACTCATAAAATAATAATAAAAAAAAGATATTTGGTTAACTTAATATCCTTAAGTTAACAAAAGTAATAAACTAACACAAAATGTCAATGTAGCTGTTCAAAAATATTATTTTTATTACAAGTAAGTAAAAAAAATAATGTAATTAGTATGTAAGTACGTAAGTATGTAAATACTTTCATATCAAAACATGAAACTGCTATTCATGAATATTTAATACAAATAATTCGTATTAATTTTCGGGTATACCCCAGTTAACTATGAGTCTATTTTGCTATGAGTACATATTAAAGGTACGAGGTATACAAGTATATGCTTATATAATATATATGTGTCAAGGTTGATATTACGTACCTATTAATTGTATAAAAAGGTACCTACCTAACGTAATAATGTTTCTTATTAAATAAGACGAAATTGTAGGATACCATTAGGTGCGTGTAATATATTAAATATATTAATTTATTATAAACCCTTTAAATTTTGTTTTAATTTTTACTTCGATCTTGTAATATTTTAAACATAAATAATACCAAAAAATAAAAAAAGCCGTACTGGATACAGAAACTGCGGTTATTTGACGATCACTATAACTTATAACTCAAAAGTATAGCTTAACTTATTTCAGCTTCCCTGTGATATTGGTGTCATATCTTTATATACAATTTACCCAATAATGTAATATAATTATTATAAGTTTGATTAGCAAAAATATATAATGATAAACTATCTCATTTAAGCAAATCAGTAATGAACGAAACCCAGATCAACTATACGTAATAGTGCAATAACTAATCATATAAATATATAAGAGTGCCTATAATACGTGTTTACATTTTAAGTTATATAAGTAGGTAGGTACTCAAAAAATAAATGATAAAAGATAATATAAAGTTTTAGAATTAAAAAATAATGAAGTAACCAAAATATGTATGCATTAAAATGTCATCATATTTTTACGGTTGTGGATATAGTATCTTACCCATAGGTTCTCTACACATTGGGAAAATGTTAACAAATCAAAGTTTAATGTACCTATACAGTATTCACTACAGTTTAAATTTCCATATGATAGATAAGGTAACATGTAAGTAGTTTAGAGATCAATTGCTAACAAAAACAATATTAGGCAAAAGTAACTAAGTTCATAAAGAATAAAGATCATAAAAAATAAATGTATTTATAGATATTAGATATCCCTAATAATAAATAATCATACTGTACAAAAAGTTAAGAGTATTTGTTTTAGGTATATTTTTAAATACATATAATTATTTAATGTTCATTATAATATATGCATACATTAAATATACATGTAAATGTAATATTTTTTTAGTTACCTAGGTAATATATAGGTATATATACTCAATAAAAAATAAAATTGTTGATTCAATTACACAAGCATGATTGTTGGAACGTTAAATTTATTAAAGCTACTAATTATTACAACAACAAAAAACTACAAAGCTTCAACTACAATACCTTCTCTGTAGATCAGTGGTTCCCGACCATAGTGTCACAGATAATTTGGAATGGGTTGCCAAAAAATTAGTTATGGAAAATAATATAAATATGAGTAAAAAGTAATCAATTAATAGTTTCTTTAATAGTTATGGTAATTCAAAAAAACGAATGTTTCGAGAGAGGGTGGGTAACCCCACATTAAACATTACATTCAAACAGGTCGCATGAAAAATTGGGTAAACATTAATGAGTCGTCAACACACAAAGGTTGAGTACCGTTGATCTAGCATAGATAAGTCAAAACTATTAACTACACTACTAAAAGTATACGACTTGCAACTACTACTTATGGTGTACCAATAATATAGCACAAAATAATTTTTAAGTTAATAATACAATTTGTGAAAACTGTTGTTTTGTACTGTAGGAATATAAAAAAAAACGTTGACTGCAGAGTCTATTCAAATTGTATGTTAACACGAATTATTCTCAATATATATATTAAATAACGTATACAGTTAATACCTACAACCTACGTACCATACAGTAATATTATAACTGGCAATTGTTTCTTAATCATATACGATTGAGATTTGAAACATTGAGATTCGAGTAGGTAAATATATAAATGTTTAATCAAGTAGGTATAAACTGTAAATCGTAAATCCCGAGACATTGTCCAAACTGTATACCTACTATCTAGTAAATAGGTACATAATAAATCATCGTAATTCTCAATGCCTATCAGCCACGTGGAAAATAAATAGTAAATAATGTTACAAGTGCATTATGAACTTATGTCGACAGCGATGTGACATTTAGATTTTTAGACACAAACACAACATAATTAATATATAATAAAATAATATCAGCGAATAACGATGGTTTTGTCGAAAATTTAAATGCCTTTAAATATACAAAGAAATAAATCGCAACAAAATATAAAAAAACTCTCTCAGTCTCTCACATAATCATCGAAGCTGTGACTTTTAAGTATAAGATTTATTTTATTCGATTTTTATCGAAAAACAAAAAAGACGAAATTTTACCGGGGTTCCATCATTTCGACCATTGGTCGGAGCTTAGAGTGGAATTCACGTAGAGGTATTGGTAAATAAGCAAAGATGATATTTAGAAGTACATGGGTACCTATACTTGATAATGCTAAAAATAGTTACTATTATTGTACTATTATATAGAGTAGGAAGTTAAAAATGGAAGGCACGCCGGTTATTATCAGTCGCGGGGGTGATAAAGAAATCACAACCTTCGACTTCTTCTACTAACTCAAAAGTTATAATAACTATATCCATAATGTTGTTAAAATATTTCAGGGCTTATATTCGTATAAATATAGGTAGGTTACCATCAATACCAATACAATGTGTGTGTATTTAATTTTTTTTATTTGAAGTCCGGACGTATACGCGTGTGCAGGGTGTATAGGTACTTACTGATTGCGATTTTGGTGTTTGAATTCGTGGAGTAGGCCATCGGGTAGAGTATGGCCCAGTACCGGTCGGCCGACACGGCCACCAGACTGAGTATGGACACGGTGCACAGGACGATTATTAGCGAAACGGAGAACATGCATAGGTGCAGGTGACGGGGCAGCCCGACGCTGGACAGCACGGCGCACGGTATGCCCACCAGACCCACCAACAGGTCGGCGACCGCCAGCGACACGATGTAGTAGTTGGTGCGCCGGCGGAGTCGCCGTTCCCTGTGAAAGGCAACGATCACCAGCCCGTTGCCGACGGTCGCTCCGATGGCCACCAGGCCCTCAAGAACGGCGTACGGCACGTTCAGCCCTCCGCCGTCCGCGGCCATCGTTGTGGCCGGCGCCCGCAGTGCCTGTACACCGACCTGCACGGCCGCTTACCGGAGATCCGTCGCGGTGACGACGACGGTCGGACACGACTATTATAGCAGCGATGGTGACAATATGACGACAGAGGCGGTGGTGCGAAGGCGTCCGCCGTGCACGCGTTCATAACGCCAAACCGTGACTGACCTCAACGGCGGCCGTGGCGGCGGGCCGGCGGCGTCTCGGGCTTTCCGCGCACCTCCCTCGCCCCCACCATGATACATATATTGTTTTACACACCGATTAGGTATAATATTATACTCTCAGATATAATATGATAATATTAATACAAAGTATACTACACAGGATGATTCACCAAGCGTTCTCACCCCCATTTTGTATATTCTTATGCCTACCTATTTTACATATCATCTACTAATGAATTTGTTCTAATAATTCTGATTGTTGACATTTTTAAACATACTGCACTGAAGGATCTTGTTTACAAAATATCGTTTTGATGCATATATAGGTACCATTTGATGGATACGTCGAGTGGTGCTATACAAACTTCATTTTTTCAAAGGAGAACCAACCTAATTTACATCCACAAAAATCAGCAGACGATTATTTCGAAAAATTGTACATTGTCTGAATAAAAATCGGAACCCTAAGCATAATAGTTCTAAGAAAAGGTTGTATAAAAATATCAAATTTATGTAATATTGAATATAGTATTTATTATATTCAGACAATCCACAGTTTTCAAACATTATGAAATTGTTGGTGGATTAATATTATAATTACCTACTTTAATTTTCGAATCATCTTAGTCTCCGCATATTCTCCAACCCCATTAATCATTATCATGGACCTATCATCCATCATAGGTAGAACATGAAGCTAAATAGCTTAAAAATTATGTTCGAATTTTGATTTAGATAAATAAATCAAAACGTACAATATAAAGTCATATGATCAACAATTCAAAAGAAAAAAGAGAAGTTCTAATTTAAAAAATAAGTTTGTATTAAATATGGCCCAAAAGTATTTTTAAGAGTTCCAAAAATCAGAATTCGAATAAATTCATTACTAAAGGATAAAATGGGGGTTAGGCTTGGTGAAACACCCTGTTTACATATTACGTGTGTGCAATAAACGATAGTTTACCTGTGTAATGGTGGTCAACCGTGACGAGTGAATACGGTTATTAGTTATTAGTTATTAGTGCAGGACATAATAATGTAATAGGTAGATACGAAAATTAATAATATTAATACGTCGTTGTTGACATATGACGATACAATATGTATAATAATACTAATTGTTTGGGACTGTTAAATTATTGCAGTCGAATCAGGTCGACCGTCGATCGACTGGGGACGTGAGATATTTTATTACCTCAGCAATAAGCTGGCACCACCAGTTGGAACCTGAAACGTACGCGTATGATATTATGTTTTAATATTTATTTACGCTGTGTTTATATAACTATTATTATATACTATTTTATAAGCTTAAAAAACAAACTACCTACGTCGATTTTCCCGTGATTGGATTGCGTTGGGCGTGATCAAACATCATTTTTTTTCGGGGTGGCAGGTGAATAAAGTAAGTGTATTACGACGCCAACACGAACTCTATTTTACGGTACCTATCGTTATTTTTAGATGTTAATATCATCGCTTTCCTCAATGCACGCTCGCTTGACGCTACAGCGCTAATCACAGGAACTACAAAGACTATAATCTGCTCATTTTAAATTCTAAGGAAAGTGAGCGTTGAAGTTACGATATTACAGAAGCATTTTTTTTTTTAAAGATATTTTTTTACTACCTAGTAAAAATGGTTTAATGGTCAAGATTTGTTATGAGTGTTGATAACATTTTTTGTTTTTTAACCTTTATAGTGTAATACAAAGTTCTTGTATAGGTAGTTTTCAAAGTGGTTTAACAATTTCGAAAATACAGAGTTTAATCTCCAGCAAATTTGGATATTTAGACGAAAAAAAATAAATTTCGTTAGGTAGTAACTAAATTTAATTTGAAATAAGAATAACTGCATAATTATTAAATATTAAATTTACGAACAAAGATAAGAAATTATCATAACTTCTACTCCACAAAATAAATGTGGGCGGCTCTTAGTGTAGTATAGCTAGCGCCCTTTCTCCCCCCACGTTAAGTCCGTCTCTACAATCGGTGTGCAATAGATTAAAACAAATTATATGATAGGAAAATAAAACTATGATTTTTAAATATATTTAAACATCGCCAATTATGAATATTGTAACATTTATACAATATGAGTTTTTAATTAACGTTAAAATGTTTTATTCTGACGCTGCTAGTTGCTGGTTCCATTAATTTAAAGCGTAAAACATTTAAACGCCACTGTATAAAATAAATGTATGCAAGATTAAATGAATGATGTGTTTCATTATACTAATGACTAACAACATAATAAGTAAAATTTCATTATCTGTAGTGCACTTGAAGTTTGAACGAATTATAATGACAATATATTTTATTCATATCAATATACACTTAACTTACAAAAAAATTAATAATCGATGTTCGCGCATGCTAGAACTACTTGAAGTTCCTTATATATAGTTACATAATATAGTAGTAGGTACGATGTGCCTACCAATTTGTTTAGCTGTACATACACTAAATAAATCATTTTTCAATATAAATATTATCCTACGTATAGTAGGTATTAAAAGACAAACAAATGAGTGCGTGCACACTACACATCGCACGTGTAACTATACATTTTTTCTTCTCCTAGGATTTTGTTAGAATCTAAATTTATTGCTTTGATTTTATTTGATGTCTATATTTATGTACCAAATATTTTGTAATTTTATATCCAAAGCTTTCTCATACGATTGAACGAGGCTATTACTATGTACTATTATTGCATTAATAATACACGGAAAAAATTATGTAGTTGATGTTACTATTATTATAATTATTCCAACTATATTTTATAGTTATATATAGGACAGCTATAATATTAGTTGATAATACTATATTATTATAGTTATCGTATTATAGCAATGATAACTATAATATAGTAGTGACAACTAAAACATTGCAATACCTTTTTAGACAAATATATTTGTAATTTAATAGAAACTAATTTTTGACTCATTTAGCATTTACTAATATTTTGTAAATTAAATAATATTTTTATAAAATCTAACAAAATGGCCAGGCCATCTGGAAAATTCCCATTTCCAGATCGGCCACTCTTCCCCTGACAATATTATACAACTTGTTCAACTTGATGACACTATTGAGAGGATGCAAGAGCAGTGTTTGTTTGCTCTTTGTGGCCCACGCACAACAAAGCAAATTTATGTTTAGCAGAAACAACCACTATTAAAGTAACACTATATGGTTGGTTCTGTTAAATATACATTTGTTTTGTAGTGCGTGGGACACAGAGAGCAAACAAACAGTGCTCTGACATCCCCTACCGATCTTTTTATTCCATCCCTTAAGTCAAGGTTTTCAACCCATCACTAGGTAGTTTCGGCTAATTGGTCGAGAGGCCTTTGCAATTCAAGAACCTTTCCTACGTATTCGGCATTGTGATTGTGAACCTAACTATTCTACCTTCACACTTCCTATTCACCTTCCCTCCACCCCTCTCTTTGTCACTCCCTCTCATCACACTCTCTCCTTTCCTCTCTCTCAAACTCTCTCCTTCCTTCCCCTTTCTCCCTTCTCTCTCACTATCTCCCTCCCATAACCCCTCTCACTGGCTGTATACATTTGTCTCTCCCCAATCCTTCCCCACTCTCACTCACTCTCTCTGTCTCTGTCTCTCCGTGCCTGAATTTCACTCACCCTCAAACTCCTCCCCTCTCTCTCACCCCATCCTCAATCTCTCTCATTCACTCTCTGTCTGTCTGTCTCCCCCTCTCTCTCTTTATTTTTTCTCCTGTGTAAATTTACAAAAATAAGATAATAAAAAAACAAATAATATTTGTAGGTAAGTAAATGATATATTTTAAAATTCATAAATCACTTATCATGCATTAGATATTTTCTTTTTAATAAATCAAATTAATAATTATTAATTAGGAAGTGACAAAATAATATTCGAATTAATGCTTTATGAAAATTTAAAAGCATATCCTTACCTGAATTTATTATACATATTTTTTTCGTTCATCTTTTGGAAAACGATACATTTTTAAATTTGGAAACATTTTCTTAGATTTGCGGATTTGCCACAATTTAAATGTTGGCACTTGTTTCCAGATATGTTTCGGACGTGAGTTGTAAATAATTCACAATTATTGTGACAAATGGATATTTAATAATTATGCAGTCTACACACCAAGATATAAGCAAGATCGTAAAATTCCAGATTTGGTTCAAGTCCGCGCAAACGTCACTTGCTTATCCGTATTATCATATTGTCATTCAATTATTACTATACTCATTGAACTCTATAGTCTGTAGTCTGTATGATAACTGGAATGCTCGCCAAGCAGTATTGCCTGTTAGAGAATGTTAGAACGAGATGGCACATACTAATGGTGTTACTATCTTTGTCTTGCACACTGCGTTAATATCGTATTTTCATTTACCGCGATATTACTTTAGTTTGGCTCTTAAAATTTTGTATTTCTTTATTTTTTTTTAATTTCCACAAAATATTTTGTATTATAATTAAACCATAAATAAATAATTTATTAGTAGATAATTATAATTTATAATAATATAACAACTAACAAGACGTATTGAAACATGCTTTTCTTGTGGATAATATTATTCATAACACTACTTACCCGAAGCTGTATCGCCTGTATCTACTGACTTAACTACCTTAACTACTTACCTTAACTATACAATACTTACTATTCTCCTAACTTAACTTAATACTGCAGATTTATAATATAGGAAATATCCAGTAAACAAAATCTTCAATACATTTTTGTTATTCTTAATGGCCAAAATTTCCTAAAATAAAGAATTATTTAAAGAAACTATGCAACATTGTAGATACTTTAACTTTGATTAATAACCTTTGAGTAGTTTTCGGCTAGATATTTTTCCAGAAATTAATTTAAAAAAAGGTATTTCATTTAAAATAAACCATCAAAATATTCAACTATATAAGAAACCATTATGAAATATGATAGTTGATATATTACATTTAAAAGTATTCACACA